ATTTCAGTATAGATAAAATGATGAGCAAGTCGAATAGCCTTATACATTTTTCCAAATTAATTAAATTTATTTAGATTCTTGTTAGATTCTCAATTATAAGATGAGCGGAAGGTACTAGATTTCAAGATAAATAATGTTGAGCGGGTCAGATAGCCTTAACATAAGCAGTGTGCATATTCATGTCAATCAAAAAATTCTTTTCACATATCAAGTTTTGTAGAGAAATTCAAAAGATTTATTAAAGATTAAATTTGAACTATGTTCACGAAGAAATATAACATGTTAGGGAATTAAACTTGTTTTGCCTTTAAAATCAAGTAATATTTTGCGTCGTTTGTAAAGATTAGTTACTTATTATGTTATAAATTAATAATTATAAAAAGTTGAAATAAAAATAATAATACTACATAATTATAAAAGATAAATATTTATAATTAATTAAGAGAGAATACTCTATTTTAATAAATTGAGTGATCCTATTTAATATTAGTTAAAGTAAAATAGTAAATTTAAATGAACTAGTTTCACATTGCATCATTCAAATAGTTATTTTATCTTGGTTAGCTAATAAGCCATCAGAAATTCGTTGAAATATTAAAGAAAAACTTCTAAATATATTTATAAAATTTTAGATAATATTTTTTTTTTATAATTAATAATAAATTATATAATATTTAATATGTAAGATATTTAAATAAAAAAACTTACTTATGATGTAATACAATTAATTACTAAGTAATTTTTATTTTTGTTCATCATGACTGCATTAAAAAGTAGATTTTTATAATTAGATGAAAATTATAAATAAATTATTTTAAAAATATTGTAAATAAAAAATTGATTAAGATTAAATTAATTTAACATATCTTAAAATGTTTGCTTATGCTATATTTCGGTATCCTTCACTTAAGTATAATCAGTAAATCTCTATTTCAATAGTATTTTTTAATGTGTATTTGTTATTCGAGTATCAACATTTTTTTTAATTTCAGTAATGCTATATCAAATAGTTGATCATTAAATTGTATATATGCCATCAATATTATAATCATCATAAAATGTACGTTCAAAATTTATATTAATAAAATAAATATGTAAATTATAAATTTTAAAAAAAATTAATACTTGGAGAAAAAAGATATTTAAATAAGTATATATATATCATAAATAGTTTAAATAAAATTAAATTTTTGAGTAAAAATGATAAATATATTTTTTACTAAAATATACTATTATTATTTGAAAAATATAATTGTAATATATGTAATTATTATTTTTTCACAGCCAACTTGAGCTTCAACTTATTCACTATTTTAATTCTCATGATCATTGTAAAATATAATAAAAATATTTTTAATATTATAATATAAATTAAAAATTAATAATAAAATCACTAGTTTAAGTTTAAAAAGATATTAATGATATATTTTAGTAATTGGTCCTCACTAAATGAATTTTTATGATAATTCTTTTAAAAAAATCATAATATCTTAACTTAATTAAAAAAATAAAGATATTCAATTAACAAACAATTCTATAATTTTTTAAATTTTTTTTTTAAACTTTAAAAATAATTTATAAAGATAAAAATATTAAGATAATTACTTGATAATGGAAAACAAAAAGATAAAATCATAAAATAATAAATATTTTTTTATATCAATTTTACATGATTATCAATAAAAAAATTATAATTGTTGAGTTTTTGCCTTTTGATTTTTCAATTGATCAATTGAAATTATTATTTATGTTATTTTTTTTTTACTTTCAAAGTTTAAAAGAATTTAAAATCTTATAAGCTTGTTCATTAATTGATATAATTTTTTTTAAAAATATATTATGAAGATTATTAATTTTTGTAGGAATTAACATAAGTATTCATTTAGAGTCAATCACTAAAATGTATTATTATAATTTTTAATTGAATTGTGCAAGTTTATTATGATTTATAATTTTTTCTAGTTTATATTATGATATTGGAATAAATTTTATTATATTTTGTAATATAAAAAACAATACTGACAATCAAAGTTCAGGAGTTCGGTTGTTGGAAGAAAAATTTAATAATGATATTTATTATTATATTTTCAAAATATAGTGACATATTAAAAGTAAAAATTACATTTTATTATTTTATTAATAAATTTATTTTATATAAATTTATACTATAATTATATATTGTTCAAATATTTCTTATTTTTCCTAGTAATAATTTTTAATTTATATTTTACTATATTCAATTTTTATAATTTAATTTATATGTATATTATATGATGACACTAATACTGAAGTAATATATATACAATTTAAAATCTATATTTGATACACATTACTAAAGTTAGAAAAAATTGATATTCATATAACCAAGTACATTAAGAAATATCCGTGGGATTTATTGATTATGCTTGGCTCAAGTGAAGGGTATTAAAATAATAGCAAACAAGTATGCATTTAAGATGATGTGTTAAATTAATTTAATCTTAGTTATTTTAATTTTAATATTTTTTAAAATATTTATTTATAATTTTTATTCAACTATAAAGATTGCATTTTAATTCAAATATGTCAAATAAAGATAAAAATTCTTTTTTAATTAATTATTTTATACCTAATAATTTTTTTTAAATGTCTTACATATTAAATATTGTATAGATTATTATTAATTATAAATAAAAATATTATTTAAATAATTTTATAAATATTATTATGAGTTTTTTATTTAATATTTCAGGGAATTTTTGGTTGCTTATTCGTTAATTAAGATGAAATAATCATTGGATTGATGTAATGTGGAATTGATTTATTTAGATTTGCTATTTCAATTGGATTAATATTGAATAGAATCACTTAATTTATTAAAATGAAGTTTTCTCTTAATTGATTATAAATAATTTATCTTTTATAATTGTGTAATATTATGATTTTTATTTCAATTTTTGTATTTATTAATTTACATCAGAACAACAAGCTGATCTTTACAAGTGAAACGACATATTATCATATTTTAAAATGCAAGATAAGTTTAATGCTCTAATATGTTATTTCTTTGTGAGTCTAATTCAAATTACTATCATTAATAAATCTTTTGAACTTCTCTATAGAACTTGGTATGCAGAAAGAATCTGAGTTGCTCTGCATTTTATCTATATTGAAAATCATTACTTTTTTTTTTGGCTCATCTTATAATTGGGATTTTAATAAGAATCTAAGTAAATTTAATCAATTAGAAAAATGCATCTCATGCTTAAAATTTAGATTGAATACTAGTTAGTTCACTTCTTTGTAATGCTAACATAATTTTTTTTAAATTGTCTCAATGTAGATGTTACTTGTATTTTTTAAACGAACTTATAAAGTATAAAGTGGCAAATGCGATGCAGCTCTGTAAATACTTGATACAATTTTTTTAAGACTTGTTTAATGGTTATTTTGCCGTATGATATATGCATTACTATTATTTGAGTTTCATTTGCATTTATAGTAGAACACTCAATATGTTTGTGTTGCTCAACTAAAAGATTCCAATAAATTTTGACAACCCAATGTGCTTGAGATACTACTGTTGCATGGGTACCTTTGCTTTCATTTTTTGGTATCACTCCACCATGCTATCCATAGCTATGTGCATTTGTTTCTGTTCAAACTAACGTTAGAGGTCCTTTGTTTGTGCTTTAAGTGCCAATAATTTAATACCCATTGAGATTGCATTGAAAATTGCTAACAAAATTATAGAACATGAAAGATTTTCTACATGCATAGTTCTTCCAATGTGGCTCGAGGGGAAGCATACAGGTGTTCCGACCCAACGCATTCTTTCTTGACGGGTTACCTTCTAAACACCTTTTGGCTAAGTGTCATATCTTAAATTCATTTTACGTTTACTAGTGTCCTTTTTTTTCACAGCATTCCTTTTTTCACAGCCTCTAGTGTGATTTAAATATATTTTGAGTTCATAGTGATGACCTTTCTCGAAATAGGGTTTTTCAGATCGATGAATAAAAATGGTTATAAAATGCAATCATAAGATGCCTAGATAAAATTAGTATTCAAAGATTTGGAAGGAATAGAGGTAAACCAATTATAATGTGAACTTAGATTGTGCGAAAGGATTTTGCACATAATAGGTTTAACCACTCATGCAATTCTTAACTGAGAAGAAATAGGGAATTATGACCCATAAAGGTAATCCAATATAGTTAGGATAAGGCTAAATAAAGGGTGATGCATAATCTTGGGAATGCATATGCTCACTTACCTAAACACTCTAATTTACTAAATAGAAAACAAATATTAATCATGAAAAAGTTCTTAAAAAATAATTAGCAAAAATGCTTATTTAGTTTAAGTTGAAGCCCTGCCCTGTGTTAGAAAGAATAATTTTATTGCTGTAGCATATTGATTTGGGATATGTCTAGGTAGAAAAAGTGTGTTTTGTTTCAACTTTGATACTTGATAGATCTATTAAGGAGGTTTCTATCAACATGGGGGTCCTACCTTGCTTGATGAAAGAAAGTAAATAAAACTTTATTTGAGAAAGTAATTTGCAACTTCTAAAGGAACACTTGCGAATATGTCTATTTTTTCAAAACTACATTAAGATTGCAGAGTTCATGCTTTAACAAATCAAACAATTCTAGCTGAAATTAACTGTAGGGATGCATGTCGTTATTCCTATGAATTTTTGTATTAGGAATGATAAAACATCCTCTTAGATTTTTTAATGCAAGTTTGGATTTGATGAGTTAGCCGTGTTCATCAGTATGAAAGCTTTGTTATTTTTTATGAATGTAATTTTTGATATTATGCAAAATCAATTCTTAATTTTCTTAATTTATAAAAAAGTTAAATAATTGAGCAATTTAAATTATTATTTATCGTGAAGTCAGATTATTGTCATCGTTCACGAGCATTTCTGTTCATTTCAACTTCTTATCATATGATTATTTTGTCTGAAGATTATTAGAGTTAAATTAGCTCTTCTTTTGCAAAAAAAAAAAAAGACAGATGATGTATGAGATTATTTATAGAGCTCTAAGGGAAGCTGGGTTTAAAGATACTTATGAGCCACGAGACTATTTGAACTGATTTTGCCTTCACATTCGCAAGACTATAGCACACAAAATGAAAGTCCAGATTCAGCCAACACACCTATTGTAAGTGTCAATCGCTTAAATGCAACTACTTTTTGATACATTTTTCCTAAAATTTTTCAAATTCCCTATGAGGTGGAAAATACTATTTAAACCCATATGTTGAGCATAAAGATATATTGCTTATTCCTACAAAGCCTTTTTTCTATCTTGTTGATACCACCATTAATTATTTTATTGTTGTCTATTTTGTAGTGACCTTGCATTATCTTATACACTAAAACCTCTTTTCTACTTGGAAGACATTACTAATTTTGTCTTAAATAGCATACAAATACTTATTACAACTTCGTGGTTAATTAAATTTCATTGATCTCTAACTTGCTTTAATTTGTGCTAATTCAATTGCAATAAGTGGCTACTAACCTAGTAATTAGTTTAAATTAACTATATTTTTCCATAGTCATCCCTTGGGTATTTAGTGGCTAACGGTGATAAATAGGAAATAATGATCCAATTGGTAGAGAGTTAGCGTAATTAATTTCAGATTAACGATGGACCAATTCATCAGCAAATGAGTTGCCATTCTGATTTATGATTAGATGGTAGCAATTCTGACTTATTAATTGTAATTTTTTGGCAAATAGCACTTTTTTCAAAATATAATTTGTTATTCGTTATTCGTTATATCTAATGAAACAAGGCAACAATGTCTTAACAGAAAACCTTTAATAGCTATAGTACTAACAATAACAATAATCTTCCGAACCAGAGATTGGATTGAAACTGGAATTTAGGTAATTGTTCACATCTAGAAATTGGAATAACTAAACTAGGTTACCTGAAAAAAAAAAAAGAAAGAAATTTTGGTTGAGCATTTTTTGTTTTCCTGCAAAACTTTACATAAAAAAACCCATCTTAAAAAAGCAAACACAAAATAGTCCACAGGGCATGCCAAGTTCTAAAGACGCTCCAGCCCCAATTTGAGGGTTCCAAAAATTCAATTTCGTTCAAGCTCAAATAAAGTACTTCACTAAAACGAGAAGGAAAAACATACAGAATTTTTGGCTATCATAATAAGAAACACAGCTTAATTATGTTGCATAGATATTTTCTTTTTAGTGAAGATAGCCATATATTTTCTTAGGTTTAATATCCAGTAAAATTCAAATGGAGTCATTATGTATATGAGCCGACGCACTTGTCACTAGATTGTGAGAACGATATTTGAAATCTTATTAACAGGACTTTTACAATGAAAACTCAACGATCATTGAGCCGTCGCACTTGTCACTTTTGCTTAAGTAACAGGTCATCCATGTACGACTCCATATTGCATGCGTTCTACTCCTTGAAAACTGAATCCATCATTCTTTGGTAAGTTTTCCCTTCATTCTATAGGGTAAAGGGAGTTACCTTATAATAATATAGGACTTTTGCAATGATGAAAAAAGTCTTCTTATAATATTTTGGATTTATCCTTATTTTATGGTGTAGTTATAGAAGGTGTCAAAGAAGCTCATCATTAACCATCTTACTGCCAAGTCCCCTAGTGAGTCTATCCTAGCAGTGGGTAGCCATCCTTTGGGCATGCTGGACTTAGGTTAGTGAATTCCACACACATCCTCTGCTTTTCTATTTCTTTTTGCATCATCACTAGATTAGAGATCCTATTTGAGTTCTAGAACTTCTTGATGGAGCTATCCTTAATTGACATCTACACGTTTTACTTGATTAGCTTGGGAGTATAACCATCGTTTTCCTTATATTTTTCTTTATAGACCTACATCCATCCTCACATTTAATTTATGGCAGGAAAATTTGTTGATGCCTAACATCTCTTTTACCATCCAATCAAAGATAGATGGATCGGCCCTGAGAGCTTATACTAACTCACCCCTATATTGCTCATTAAAGGAAGTTATAATTTTGAGGGTTTTCCCTCCTTTACTAGAACTCTTTCCATTATTTTCATGGTCTCTAGTTTTGGACCTCTCTCCATATCTAGTTTTATGGCTTATTTTTTGGAAGTTGCCACCTTTCCCACTACCTTCTAATAATATATACAAGGTTGGCTAATACAATCCTCACTATGATATCCCTTCCTCTAATTGGGAACTTGACAACTACATGGTATGTTAACACTATAGCTCTGAAGGTGCTTAATAAGGGCCTTTCAAAGATATTATTGTAAGTGGTTAGGGCTTCCACTATTATAAAACTTATCATTATAGCATATTTATGATTTACCTCACTGAGGTGACTAGCAAGATGAGTACCCATATTTCTCTCCTCTCTCAAAAAATTATATAGGGGATCTCTAGTAGGCATGAGGTCGAAAAATACAACGATCATTTTCCCTTTTAAAAATTTAATTATCATTTAAACAAAATTCCTATGTCTATAAATATACTATTAGTGACCAAGGTGTTTATGTTGATAGTATTCTATGGGTATTCCCTCTTTGTAGCTTATCAACTTCTCTAAAGGTGGTAGGGCTCATATACATCATTTGGACTAAGGAGATAGATGGTGAGTTTACCTCTCCAACGTTTAATCTCTTTTAAGTTGATGGGGATTTGGATCTCTCACCACCATGATGGCGGGTACAATCATAATAATATGAAGATAGTAAGCTGGGATAGGCTCATTACCACTACTATCCATGGGAGCTTTCTTGGGCATTGACTTGAATTCATGAGTACAAACTCCTCCAATTTGTTGGCCTTAATGAATTCTCACCAATCCTTAAAGATAATGATAATCCTCTATATCATGGCAATCATCCTTATGAAAGGCATAGTACTTTGAGGTGTCCCTAGTATACTTGCCCACCTTCTTAAGAGCTTTTCTCTTTAAGAATTCTTTATTTGTAATGGCCTTTACTAGCTTAATAATAGATACTCTCAATGAAGTATAGGTAGGATAATCTATGGTGTAGTGTAAAACTTCCATGTCATAGGGGTTAAACTAATACAAGGAATTTCCTCCTCTTTTAGTGTGGGAGGTCATACAATCTTTAGCAATCTGGGATGCTAGATCACTCCTTGGTGCTCTAAGTAATAGTGATCACATATTGGGTTAATTCTTGTGGACAAATAAATGTGCCACATGATTTGCTTTATGTTTCTTTATTTAAATCTATATAGCTAATATTAAACTCTCCTGAAAGATAAACTATTGTTGAAATATCAATTTTAAATGAGAAACAGCTTTCTTTTTATAATCAAACATAGCATAGGGAATGTTAAATTCATCTTGAAGGATAAATGAAATATTTACCTATCATTTTTATTATGAAACTAGATAAGGTATAAAGCTATAGCCAATATCCATAGGATTTTGATCTCAACATAAAGCTCTAATGTATTGTGCATTAAATCATTTGACGTACTTTACGTTATTGAAGGAACTAGTTTTAGCAGAGGCCTAAGTCATATTAAGAGCTAAGATAACCATGTATTTTCTTAGGTTTAGTTTCAAGTAAAATTCAAATGGAGTCATGTATATGAGCCAACATATTTTGTAATTAGATGAAAATTATAAATAAAAAATTGATTAAAATTAAATTAATTTAACATATTTTAAAATGTTTGCTTGTACTATATTTCGGTACCCTTCACTTAAGCCAAATATAATCAGTAAATATCTATTTTAATGGTATTTTCTAATGTGTATTTGCTATTTGAGTATCAACATCTTTTTTTAATTTCTATAATGATATATCAAATAGTGGATCATTAAATTATATATTTTTCATCAATATTATACCATCATAAAATGTAACGTAAATTTATATTATAAAAAATGAAATAATAAAATTATAAATTTTAAAAAAATTAATACTTGGAGAAAATAAAGATATTTAAATAAGTATATATATTACATATAATAGTTATAATAAAATTGAATTTTTGAGTAAAAATGATAAAATATAATTTTTTTACCTAAAATATACTACTATATATTTGAAAATTATAATTGCAATATGTCATTATTAAATTTTTTT